CGCAAAAGACACGCATTGGAAGATCATGATTCAGAGCAGAACAAAGAACTTGCAGGGGAAAAAAATATGTGGCAACCTCATTAGGAAACATACAGAGCAAAGAAGACAAAAATGCATATTTTAGAGCTAAAAAAGACAAAAGAGCATAAAGAAAGGGATGGGAATAAATATAGAATAATACAAGATATGAATGAAAGGAGTCCTCAAATTCATCTCTGTGCAACTCCAAGGAGGCACTAATTTCTGGAAAATAAAATACAGTGCCAAAACAACTCCCATATGGGAATTAAGAACAGTCTGAAAAATTCACTCATCAAATGAGAAAAGATTGGACATTTTTGTCTATCAGAATTAGGGAGAAAGCTCAATATTTTGTAGAAAACAAGAAAGGATAAAGGCCACAAAATTATCATTCTGAAACTCGTATAAGTAGGACTTATATGTAAGTGAAGGGGAACACTTTCACTATAGACCACTTGGGGATTCTGTCAGTAAAGTGGCTTGTAAGACAAAAATACATAAGGGAATACATGCAGGGATGGATCAGAAAGTAACCATTAGACCTGAAAAGGTACTCAAGTATTTACAAAGTCTTGAATTGTAAATAGACTAAAGGAGTTTCTGCTGCTACAGCTGGTGACAAACAAGTTTATAAAAAAAAATCTGATGTAAGATAAACCAGGTGGAATTGCATTGTAAAAACGAGGCAAAAATGGGTATAGGCTGGTGAGCTACAGTGGAATAAGTAAGTCAAGAAATTGTGTCTACTAACAGGTGACACCTCTCAAAGGAATGAGGTGTATAAAAGTAATAAAGACTTCTGTAAGGAATAGTTTTGCAGGGTAACACTAAAAGGTATCCAAGAATAATGAAGGCATAACTACCTTATATATATGCTACTGAAACCAGGATCAAATAAAAATAAATATATGGAGACAAATATGATGGAGGCACTCATTAAGCAAAAAAATTGCAAACAAAACTTTAGAACCTTGTACAGGTATGAGAATTTAATATGGATTTTCAGATGGAAAATAACAAAGATTAAGGAGATACGAAACTGCAAGGATTTGCTGGTGAGATGGTAATAAGAGATATATTTTATTAGCCAAGTTTACTATGCTGGGTAAACAATAAAGAAGATTCAGGGAAGAACAGCATTTCACAAAGGTCTTTTCGGTCCTGTAATTAAAACTTAAGCAGACAGGCTCCAAGAAACATTATAAGAAAATTCTGAAAGTGAGAGGTAAATTGGATCTCATTCAAACAAATAAAAAAGAAAAAACGTCAAGATATATAAGGCATAAATTTTACGAAAGAATGACAGAACAGGCAGATCCCTAGTTAGAAAGCTACAGAAAATATGGAGAGAACAGCAATCCCAGACACTAGAGACAGTAGGTAATTAGTTCAGAGAAGAGAAGAGAAGCTTCTGGAGAATTTTATAAGGGATGCTGTCCCCCAGACTACTGATAAAGAGTTATAGTCTCTAGATAAATCCAAAAAATCAAAATTTAATTAGAAAACAAAAGGATACTCCCTGGCCTTCAGAAGAGAAGGTAAAAAATTCCTGAGGAAGAAGATTAAATGTAGGAGCCTTATATGTTTATTAACTCTTTGAACATAAACACAGACACCATTCCCAGACTCTAAGAAGAATTTTAATTCCCATATTATTGAGCTTCTTTACTGTGATTGAGAGGACAGTTGTATTGCCAAACAAGGGGAGAGATTTCATAAACTGATCACTGCATATTCTTCTGTATTTTTGCCACATGTCTTTTTTGTTGATACTCTGGGGATTGTTAGTTAGTGATGTTTGCCCAGATTAATTAAAATTTATTGTGGGGAAAATGTAATGTGGGAAAACACATTTCAGATAACATTTTATAAAACCAAGTGTCACAAAAATCTCATCTCAATCCAGAAAAACCCACTTACAAAAGAGAAGAAAATATGTTTCCCATGTTAGCAAAGTTTGGCTTTGAAAATAAGTTGAAGGTCTGCATTTCTGCTTTATTTAAAAGAGATTCCGTAAACATGAACAGATTTACATTTAAAAAGAGGCACAAAGAAAGGTAATCACCACTGTATCTACAGGTTGTTCCAGACACAGGACATCCAGGAAAAGGGATCAGGACGTATCCAGAGATGAAGGGCAGAAAGAGCAGATCAGAGATGTACCATAAGTAGCTTGTTTGCATATTCTATGTTACTTTTTGTGCAAGATTTGTCTCCTCCTTAAAAGCAACATAATTTCAAACCTGTAGATTTGCTGCTTCCATCTCTGGTATCAAAAGAATAATGATAAACTTGAAGTATTAGATGACCACCTCTGTGAAAATTAAGCACTATAAATTTAAAACTACTTAAAGTTAATTATGCTAAAGTTCAGTCTAAATTAACAAAAGCCTCACAACTGCGTGGAGATGTAGATTCCTTGGACAGAATAGCTAACATTAAAAACAACACATTCTCTTACCTGAGGTACATTGGCTTACCTACATACACAGCAATACAGATATCAGAATGACAACATTTCACACATTTCCCAAGCGTTCGCTGACAGCTTCACCTAGATCTAAGAGTCTCACAATGTGAGAATATTACAAAGGACTTCAAATATTGGAAGACCTGCTGCCTCCAAATACTCATCACCCATGTGAAAAGTATGGACTTCCTCCTTAAGGCCTAAAAAATATATATAACTTCCCTTGGATCGAAACAGGGATTTCTTAGTTAGGTCACCTCTTGGGGGAGAAAGATATGAAATCTTATTGATGCATTTCTGAAAGTAATACCTGAGCGAAAGTTTTCCATTTCTAGTATCTTAAAGATGGAATTTTATAATCAAAATACAGAAAGCTTTCAGCAGACTTAACCTTCTGAATAACTGATATATAGAGACTCAATAAAACAAGGGCTCCCTTTCTAAATACACACATTTTAATAAAAGAAATAGATGGGAAGAATAAGCAAATTAATAATGGGAGAGATATCCTTGGGGGATAAAAGAGCTTTGAGTAATATGTATAAATACATCACAGATGGTACCTGTCTCCAACTAGGATTCAACATATTTTATCCAAGAACGCTGTTGGAGAGGCCATGGGACAAAATCTTCTTTCACATATGTCATTGGGCCCAGGTCCAAATACTCACTGGAAGTAACCAGAAGAATAACAACTGTGATGGATGGTAATATCCTATTAGACTCGCTTGTTTGATTCCTGAATGATCACTTTAAGGACACTCAAGAGGTGAAGAAAGAAAAATTACTGTACTTTTGATGGTAGCGATTAGACTTTATATTTGCTTATACATAGAAGGATTAATTTCCTCATCATCTTCTCATCACTGAAAAAAATGGTACAGTAAAATGTGAGATGCCCTAGTGATGAATAAAAGTATTCTATCGGTTCAGATTGCCAGAAAAGAGGCCAGAAAATATGTCATTCCTTATTTATTCAAAGAACAAAAATTGATCAGCTAGTAAATGAGACACAGTGAATATTACTGGATAGGGAGAGATAACAGGGACAGCTTTCCCTCTTTCTATTTGCATGTGACTATGTCTATAGTAGATGGGGTTCTCACTTTCTAAGGACTACTGCAAATCTGCACTGCTGCCTTGGAACAGCAGTAATAATTTATACCTTGTACAATTGCTCTGCACATTTGTTTTTTTCAGTTGTCTATATGAAATTTATTAAAAAAAAAAAAAAAAAAAAAGGGTTAGAACTGTAAAAACAAGGAAGAGGTATCCCAGTGTTTTCTTTTTGTTGAGGGGAGGGCTTACAATTTTTAAGTTGAACTGAACTTTGAACAAGGGAAAAACCTGCAGGTGATCACACACTGGATATATAGCACAATACTGTTGCAAATTATGCTGGTGTAAGGGTTTCAGATGCACTCCTCTAGTCTTTTTGAGTAATTCACAATACTGAAAAAGAAGTGTGAATGAAGTCAGTTATAGCTTGCTGCTCACCAACTTGGCATACAGTGGCTGCATGGACCACAGAAGTGGTCAGAAGGATGAAGGCAGTCAAGAAATGTTACACACCTCATCAACAACACTTTTCTTACTTCGAAAGTCACGTGCATCACACACTTGGTCAGAACAACAGAGCGGGGTTTGTGTTGGGAGAGCAAAGTAATGCCAGAAGTTTGGGTGAGGTGAAGCAGCAACTATGCAAGGACTGAGTAGAGATTAAAACAGGTCTGGTTTTCTCTAATCTCAGAGTTTGCGTGGGATGCTAGGACACACTGGGTGTCCAGGAAACATTTGCTTTGCCTTTGTAAGTAAATAAATCTAAGATATGATATTGTGTTCTTATTATCTTACATCTCTGCTCAAAAACATATTCTGCAAGAGCACTACATAGAGTAAATAAAACAGCCTAAGATGAATTATTCATCGTGCATCTGTATCCACTCATTATTCTTCTAAAAGAAATATAACTCACTCCCAGAGTCCAACAACTGTCTGTCTGCTCAGAAGTTGTGACAATATTATTTTTGCTTTCCCCTTCAAATCACAAGAAAGATTGTGTATCAATCTGGAGCAGAGGCTAAAGCCAAATCCAGAATGGAGTGTGACATCTTTTTTTATACTCTAAACCGGGACTAAAACCACAGATAAATGTATTCAGCTACCAAGGGGCTAAGCTACCTGATATACAAGAGAGGGAGAAAACTCAATTCCAAGCAAAATTTAGCTCCTTCATCCTTTGAAACCCTCCCTTCACAAGTAACCTACAGAACTGGCAGCAATTTACCCCAGAAGGCTGTGGCTCCTGGCAGTTCCTCAGGACCCTAAGGACCATGCCCTCCTGCTCCCTCTAATGCTAACACCTCCCTGTGTAAGCATAGATACAATGAGGGCATCAGCTTGCCCAAGTCTACTAATGATTGCATGCTATTTACTTTTTTTCTTTCCCCTGTTTCTCTTACTGAGATCTACTTGGACCAGAAATTTCAGAACGACCCTACGCACGTACTTTCCTTCAGTCGGTGCAACCCAAGTTCCACGGTGATTTGGACACAGTAGACCTCCCGGGTTTGTATGCCACCTCCACACAGGCCTACGTGCTTGTGGTGGCGAGGGTCCTCCTGGTCAAGGAGGAGAGACACTTGGCAAGCTTTCCATTCAGAAGTCCTCCAGGCAAACCTTTGGAAATAAAAGAGAGCAGGTAAAACAATAGTTTTTGAAAGGTTATGGGTGAGAGACTGGTACTTTATTAGATGACAAAATACAATTGGTTTAATCTTTATAGCAGCACTTCCCTACGGAAACAGGGAATGTTTTGAAACATTCTGAATGCTAAATTTACAAAGGTTAAGTATTTGCTATTTGTCTGGAGTACTTGTATAAAACTTTTCACATAGCACTAATCTCCAAAGCATTCTGAAACACTAAATCATCCTGACAGCACCTTTGAGCAGGGTGCAAAAAAGGAATGAATATTAAGAGGCTTGATTAAGTGAGTAGACTAGTTTTCAAACATGTGCCTCAAACCACTAACCCACCCCTCTCTGCCAAGAGCTGAACTCTGAAATGTACTTGACAGCTAAAACCCTACAGACGTCATCGGAGCTCCAAGCACCAGGCAGCTTTTCTACAGGTGACAGCTTTATAAACACTTAGGGTACTACTAATTTCTTCAAGGGATTGGCTAAAGTAACTCAGTTCTCTCACTTGGAGTTTCCAGAAGAGCTGTGACGCACAGCAAGCTCTAGATAAAAACACCTTCATTCTATATTCAGTTCACACCTATAGAGCATTAATGGTTTTCAAGGAAGGATAATGTTCTTGGGCACAGATATGCGAATGCTGTGCAGACAATAACCACTGGTACGTACCAGCTTAAATGCCAGGAAGAACTTATTAAAACTATAGGGCAAACAGCATCATGTATCAGTGGAAAGCAAAAGTTATCTCCCCATCATGTTTGAAAATGTAAAGCATATTTCTAATACAACAGTTTTCACAGGCATAATTCATTTTGATTCACAGGTCACAGTATCAGTGGAGTAAATAAGAGCCCAAAGTCTTTCTTCGCTTCCTGAACGCAAATCTTAGACAATACTGGTTTTATAACCAATCTGTTCACACTTCTGTTGCTTTATTTCTTTGCTCCTCTAGATTTCATAGTTTACTTTTCCCCTACAATCTTCGGGTTTTGTGTAATGTAAACTATGTAAGATAATTTCCTTCTTTTACCCTCAAGACAAATGCTCTCTCCTCTTACAGTGGATCCACGGTTGTTAAAACTACATATGTTTGTTACTTTGCTGGCTGATCACTGTAAACTCAAGCGTAATGGGACGCCTCTGCAGAAAAAGTCTTCCACATTGTAATTCTGTGTTCTCCACAGCCAGTATCTGTTCGTGACGACAGCTACGGTAAGGAAACATGCATCTCAAAATTATACAAAAAATAAATATACTAGTTTGCCAGAACACACATCAATGTTCTCTTAACATCTTATGTTGTAAATATTAGCATAAGAATGATTTTTAGCCACAAAGCATTTATGAATTTTGTAATATACTCATAGAAAACGTTTGTGAATACTGCCAATTACTTTTAATTTACACAGGTACTTTTCAGATGAGCTGTCATGCTCTCTTAAATAATATACAGTTATCATGTTCAAATTTGGATACACTCACAGGGTTTTATTACCAACAGAGAAAACAATTAAGAATACACTTTTCAAATGACAAGCATGAAATACTTGAACTCCCACAACTTATAAAGTACAGCCATGATTTCTTTTTCTTCTGATAGTTCCTTCTGGAAATTCCTAATCACATTTCTTGGCCTGCAATGTTAAATGCAATCTTCCTCTTATCATGAAGGCAATGAAAAGGGCTCTTCATCAAATACCACATGAAGAAGATTCCTCCTCCACACCACTTCAGGACACTGTGCTCTTCAGGTCTACACTTTCAGAATTAGAAGCTTAAATATAGAACACGCATATCTTTCCGTGGCCATGGAAATAGTTGTTTTAGGGAAGTATTTTTTAAAACAGTAACTGACTAAAGAAAAACTGATTATCAACATCTGGCTTAGGTATTCAGCTGTGAACTCTGGATCCTAAAGACTCATTTCCAGAGGTGTGAGCTCCTGCTTTTCCTATTCAGCATGAGCTGTGAGAGTTATCACCTATGAAAATTAGGCCATCGGTGATTAAAATTATGCAAAATAACTAAATCTGAGCTCAGAGTTAATTAAACTTTATCAGCCCCCGAATCTAAAAAAAAATTAAAAACAATCCCTTTAGATATTTTCACAGAGTAACTGGATACTGTGCTCCACCGCAGAGCAGTCCAATGAGCAGCTATCAGGTGCTCCAGCCAGCGCCTGCTCTGCTGTGAGCAACTTAAAGCCTCGACCCCATCAGCACATTCTGCTTTTTTCCCAGCTGGACATACTCTCAGCTGTCCAGAGTTTTCCGGTAACAAATCCTGACCCCCAAGCATTAGCTCTTTAAAAGGTACACATTTTCATGGCCATTAACAAGCCCACTACACTAGAAACATTTCCAAGAGATTGCTATCCCACTGTGTGGGAAACCTAATGCAAGACCTTTTCAGACAGACACAGTGACCTCGGACAGTTTTGTGGCAGATTCTTTGCAGGGTCTTAAGCAGCGTGGCTGATACTTGGTATTAGTTTCCCAATCTGTGGGCTACACTAAAGACAATGAGAATTAACATTACTTAACAAAGAGAAACTGACTGCATAATCTCTAGTTACATGTACTCCAAAGCTTGTTAATAGCCATTAGCAAAATGAGATTGCACGCTGACAAATACTCAGGGTGTTTTGTAACTTTGGCAACCTCAAGCCAGTACTTGCAAATTGCTACCAATATCCACAGTGGGTTTACCACAGGACTGTAATTTCTCCAATTTCATGAGGATGACCAAAACCACCAGTGACAGTAGGGACATTCTGTTGTTGGAGCAGATCGTACCAGAAATGCAGTGTACCAGTGTTAAGCCAAGGGACAACACCATCCAGCCACCCCGTTCACCGTGCCCAGAGGGTGAAGTGTCTGATAACTCAGGAAGTGGAAGGGACATTATACATTTGGATCCAAGTTGGTCAGCTCCAGTGTACTCTTGCGATCCCTAAGCCAAAACCTGTCAATGACATCAATCTCAAATCTCAATAGATTTAACATCTCATTTTAACTCCTACCAATACCTAGTTAGACTGATGCAAACTCAGTACTGTTGCAGTCCTAGCTGTGACCCATGTTTATCTACAGACCTTGCTATAGCTAAAAAAATCTCAGCCTTTCCCTTTGGCTTCCCAATAGGCTTGTTCCAGTTTTTGACAATACTGTTTGAGTTACAGGAGGTCTAGCTACTTCAAAGATTGACAGACCCCATTGCTGACGGTTAGAGTCAGCTAGATAACATCCCAAATGGAGATCTCCAGAATCCGCAGAGCGTTATATCCATTTGCTTAAGAAAATGGGCAAGCAAGAACTGCTAGTTTAGAAACAATAGTGTGTGCTTGAGGTATCTAGGAGGGAACTTGGCTGATAAAGCGGAACAGCTTTTCACATCATAAACTCTGAATTTCCCTGCTAAACAGCCAGCTGAGGACGCAGAAGGGCAGGTCCCACACATTTCTGTAGGATCAAGGCAAAGCGTGCTCTCGGACTGTGACACTTAACCGTGGCCTCAGGAGAAGTGTCCAGCCTGGAGCTGGAGAACTGAAGCTTCACCGCGGAAGGTTCCTGATCCGAGGGGAGGCAACAAAGCTGCCCAGCTGAGTGGAGGTCCTTGCTGCGCACCCGAGAGTGGCAAAGGTCAAAAGGCTGGAGGCTAGTATTGCTACAAGTCTCAAAGAATAATTGCAGCAGCCTACCAACACCATTCACTGCATTTCCTTCCAAGTCTTCACACTAATGCCTTATCTTTAATTGGGGCACATAATGGGCCTCATTTAGAAAGTGATATCATCACACCTATATCTCAGCAGTAACCTGAAGCCTTTTAAAAAATCAGGTCTTAAAACTTTCCCATTTTCCAACATTTAACTTCTGAAAAGCTTTGAATTTCCAACAAAGCAGAGAGTTTTTTTTTTCTAAATCCCTGTCTCGTAACATAGCAACCACAAGCAAAATGAAAGATTTAAAGACATAATCATAATTCTGGAAAATCTGTCTATTCCCAGTGAACATGAAAGTTACACATCAGGGATAAAAATGATATAATACATTGTTTTAAAACTGATGACTCAGTGACAGGTATGCAGCAAAAAAGTGCTCAACATTTTTCCGATTTATAGTAACCTCTTGTTTTCTTTAGTCTATAGGACTTATGCTTTTAGCACTTACACGAGTTTTATACCCGTATATACCCATTCACTTTAACTGAACTATCCCAAATTTATATCACAATAAAAGAAAGTAGAATCACCTCCTATGTATTTAAGCTTTTTAAGCACTTAATCTAATCCCTTCAGAACAAATAACCAAAAGTAAAACAAAGCACAAAGCTCCAGAGCCCTACATGCAGTTAAAGTGTTTTATTTTCTTGCATTTAAACTATTGATTAAAGAAGTTATTGTAAACTTCAGCCATAAAATTAAAAGGCCTTCCCATTTAACATCAAATTTACACTAATTGCCATGTACCTGTGACGGGACCTTTAACTTGTAGCCTTGCCATGGACATAGAGGTAATACTTAACATAGCAGTTTTGAAGATTAAGGTATTTTTTTCACCTCTGGGTTCTTTTAGGAGGATGGAATGTAACTCCACCCATCTCCCCCTGCTCAATACAACTCTGCAAGTGCTACCTCTTGAGCTGCTGATTTTGTGCTGGTGGAATGTAGTCCACGATATGTACCTTCATTCAGTCATGGGGTGCTCTCTGTCCTTGCATTAAAAAAATAGCCTACAGTCCCCTTCCTTCTCCTGCTCAGAGACTTGCTCTCTTTCTGGTCTATGTCCTCACCCATCTTCTCTGCTGTGCCTGGAGTGTACTTTGGAAAATCCTTGCCCAAAGAAAGGCTACTTGTCCTAAAATGAACCAAAAAATAGCAAAGAGCAGATTTCCAGGAACTGGGAAAGTAAATAGGACTCTCACCTTAAAAGGTTTTAAAACTAATCCGATTAGGCAAACGAAAGCCAGAAAGAAAGAATGAGCGGTCTGTGGTAAGACCAGACAAATGAAGGAGAGAGCCTTTTATTTCTGCTACTGAATCTCCCTAAATTCATCATCATCTTGTAAGGGGAAGAAAGAAAAGATAACTGTTTGGTAAGCCTCAGCAAAGCCACAGATGAGGTGGCATATATTTAAGGGGAAAAAAAGCATAATCTTTCTAGGTATTACACTGCAAAGAGAATATGCTCAAATAAGGAGAATAGGAGCATCAAAGACTTCTTATATTATTTTAGGGATTAGCACTACATCCCTCTATGGCTGAAAGCTACTTCTTTCCAATCTAAAGTACTTCGAGTATCTCAGTCACCAATTCCCAAAGACCAACACCAAATCACCCGGCTGTAAACTGTAACATGAACCAGTAACATCCTTTACCAGCTGCTGACACTTAAATAACATACTTTAAAACACTTGACTTCTGTTCATTAATACAAAATTCTGGGCCCCACAGCCTTATGCCTGGAAGACCCACAGCCCATACTGCAACACGATAGCTTTTCATTCCTGTTTGTTTCTGCAATATTGAACGGCCAAATCAAAGTCTACTAATTGGGGGCTACTGTAAAATTCTCCTCAACACTGCATCATGTGAGAACTTCATAGCCTACCCCCTGCATTTTGAGGTATTACATCCCTAGAAATAACAATTAGCTAAATACCAGAGTTGTGGTTTGTTTTTTTTTTTCTTTTGCGCAATATTTTTAATTAAGTAGATCTATTAACCTGTAAAACTAATGTTATTTTTCTGGGCTAGCTCGTTAGGCAGTTTTTCCTAGCTCATGCAGATGCTTCGCTGGAGGTGTTGCCTGAAGGACTGAAGGTGTGCAGGTATGGCAGGATGGGGAAGGTGTAAGCGTTTATAGGCTCATGAAAACCTGGGCATAGCAACGATACATGGAAAGAGCAACATGTTTCCTTCTATAGCAAGAATGGTACTTCCAGAAAATTATCAGTGTTATGCAGGTTCTCACCTTTTGGGCTCTCCTGGCTCTACACCAAGCCCCTACAATCATTTGCACTTTAATACAGTGCAATGTCAAAAATTAGAAGTGAGAAACTAGGGCAGATGCATGCCTGTTCACGCCCTGATTAACCTCCAGCTGGTCTACCCCAATCAGGTGTCACCTGCACCCACGCTCCTATACAAAATCAGCAAGACAATGTGTTAATCTGTTGTCTTTGAAACTGATGTACATTTGGAGCAAAAAATCACTCTCTAAGAGCCTTTTCATAGGATGTAATCAAGCAACAGAATTTTTTTTTTTTTTTTATACTTCCTCTCTTCTGCTAGCAGGGCGCATAAAAATGATCAGCATTTGATTTTGAATGAACCTAACGATATGGAGACACTTTCACGGGTTATTCCTTCCTAAGTAAATGTATCTTGCAAAGGCTTTATCAAAGGTTTTGGCAGTATCTGGTAAAGCCTCAGAAACTCATGACTTGAGCACTAAATAGACCTCCTATTAAACACACTCATTCACAGACAGGGAGATTTGTCTGCATACATATAACATTTTGTCAATCTTGAAGCATTTTACAGTCAATCTCAGAACATGTCACCTGAAAAATTAAGCTGTATTTTAGTTTCTTTGCTAAGCAAACTAGCAACCCCCTATGCTAGCCTGGCCAAGCATAACAGCATGGATTTGCAGACCAGAAAGGCAAGATCCTCACCTTTTGCCAGAACAAAGGTTGCCATAAACCAAGCAAGCACTCAGGGACTGCAAAGTATCCTATTCCAAGAAGTACCCAGAGGGAAGCTGAGTAGGGTCCAAGCTAATACTTCTGATCAGTTCCCACTTTCCTCAAACAGGACTGGTATTTTTTTATGGGGAGATGAATGGGTATTGTTAAATCTTATGTAAAAATTACAGTTTCAAAGCCAATAAAAGCACAGCCACGGAGACCTGCCCAGTCTCTGTGAAGCTGAGGAAATTCTCAGAAACAGCAATCAGTCTGAAAGCCCCTTTAGAGAACAAGATTATCTGCTCTCATTTTTTAAAATGTGAAAATATAAACTGTAGTGGGTGTAGTTTAAAATAATTTCTATATACAAGTGTAATTATTGTAATTGCAATAATGATAATAGCAACAATTACAAGAATATTACTAACAATAAATAATACTGCTAATCATAGTTAACAATGATCAAATCAATGATCTCTCAGACACAGAAAGAAAGCATGACATGCGACTCTCCCCACGCACAAAACACTGAGCAAGGAAGATTTGCTTTGCACAAGGCAAGTCATCAAAAAGGGGCTTCGTTACTTCGAAAAACGGGGCTAAAAGCACTCGCTGTACCTGGGGCAAGGCTGCAGCAGCTCTCTCCCTCCCGCGCTGCACGCTTCCCTCTCTTCCAGCTCCGGGCATCGCTTCCCGGCGCCCACCGCCACGCTCCGCACGCCGCGGCGCCGGCTCCGAACGCCCGGGGCGAGGTCTCCCCAGCCGCAGGTCCGCGAGCAGGAGCTCCATGCAGACCACTCGGACGTTTCGCAGTCTTTGGGGAGGACACAGGACTTGAAGGTCAAAGGGACGGGATCTTGCACGCAGAGGCTGCGATAGGAACACAGTAAAACAGCTGAGGAGGTCTTGCTTAATAAATTTTGATTTTTTTTTTTTTTTTTTTTATTTTATTTTTTCAAGCCAAACCCCTGAAGAAGAAATCCATGGTCATCTGCGGTAAATCAGAAGACCTGCATCAACATCAATACAATGAATGTAAGAGGAGCTGTCATGCACTGCACATAAAACATTTTCAGGGAGCTCTGGGTGCAATCTTGCATGCCGAGCAGTCTGCAGATAATATACTTCATTTATTTCAAGTTAAAACAGATGCGAAAGTCACTATATTTGCTCCTGTGCAGTTAGAATTTCACGGTTTATCCAGGATAGAAAATAAAAGCCAAGACCAAGAGAAATTCTGTCACTGGTAAGCATTCCCACCACCCCAGGCACATGAGTAGCTGTCTGCCACCCACCCATCCATCCAGGTGTCAGCACGTCCTGCTGAGCAATTCTGCTCTATTCAAAAATAATTAGTCACACACTAATAAGAAAGGTATTGGTTCTGTGAGGCTGTTATCAAACAAATGCTGTCAAACAAAGTCAGAGTGTTTCCAAATCTGACAAACCAACAGAGACCGAGGAATGCTGTAACTGTGGCTGCATTTTGGGACTCAATCACTCCTGCTGACATTAGGACATGATCCTCATCCATTCTGTAACACATCAAGACACCATACAAGGCCAAATACAACAGAAAACCAAATTTTAAGAGCTGTCTGCTGTTGATGTTTGGTATCGAGCTACAAAGTCCCAGAATAAAGTTTTTAAGAGTTCCAAAGTGTCAATGGCTTTTCACAATATAGAAAATGTAGCAAATACTTCTGGGAGAAGACAAATCTCCAGACTAAGGCCACTGCCCTTCCTTGCTCCTTCACTTCTGTCTCAGCCAGCTGATGACCCTCCTGTCCAGCACGTACTGGGAGGGACCCTGCAGAGCACGGCTGTCACTGCTCCACCTCACCCTGGACGGAGGTCAACTAGAGAGTCACCACTCTTCTCCCAAAATGGGAGAAAAACTATTCTTGTCTCTCAAAAACCTTTGATAACGGAGGTAACAGAGTGGGAAATCATATACTGAGAGAGGACCGCGGTACATACAAGAAAAGACATCACCGGAGCACCACAAAGGATGGGATGGGGCAAAAAAAAGATGAGACCTAGAAAGAAAGAGACACCAGGAAAAAAGGAACCAAGATTTTCTGGCTTCTGCCTAGTGTTATATGGATGATGCAAACTCGCCCCTGAAATTAAGACCATACATGAACTCTGTGTGAACTCTCTCTAAATTTGTCTTCTCCAGCCCCCAGTTGCTCACGGTCAGGCTTTTGCCAACTGTAAGGAGCAAATACAGGACACTTAAAAAGTGTGAAATCCAGAGCTGCTGCCAGGGAGCCAGCTATTACCTCACTTGGTATTACTTATAGCACAGTTTGACTAACCTAACTTTCTCTGAAGAAAATAGACTGGGGCAATCATTTCGGGATTGCAGGGCAGTCTCATAAGGGGAGCAGAGAAGATAAAGGACATTCACTTGCTTCTCCTCCAGTCTAGAAATTGTTCCCATTTTCACAAAGGTCAGTAGGAATATTCCCACTGATACCTGATCAAGTTTGACTAGACCCTCAACTACCAGCAAAATACAGCAGTTAGTGGCTTAAATTTATACTTCAAACTAAAAAAAAAAAGAAAAAAAGAAAAAGCTTAACAACTTTTTGTCTCAGTTTCTTTACCCAGAATAAAACTTATAAAACTTATTAATCGCACAAGTGCTGTGAGGATGAATTTACTGGGGTTTATTTTAACAACTTCATAAATTAGAAACAGCCTGTGATACAGCCCCCTCAAAATAAAATTATTCTTGGTTACAACTCAAAAAGATGTCTCACTCTTCTAATACATGTCAAATGCAACTGATTGCAAAGCTGTCTCTGGTACAAAATGTCAATACTATTGAACCAAGGACTGAAAAATAATAATCATTATATCTATATTTACTAACTCAGGGATTTTGAGTCGTGTTTAGAACATTAGGTTAGGTGGAGTTACAGGAACGGTAACTTCATTTACTTTTTAACACTTTTCCAACAGTTATCAGATGAGCCATCCATGCCACAACATACAAGAAACAGGAATTCCTGATTTTGAATAGGTAAAATAGTAGCACAAACAAATCACTGACCTAACTGATGGTACTAGAAAACCTAGAGTTTATCTAAGAACACAGCATGGAGGGTAACTGATCTCACATTTTAGAGTGATCAAAATTTTGCATTCAGATATCAGTATGAAAACCCAAATCTATTTTTGGAGTTGCGCCATCTCAAAGGAGATTTAAGTCTTGCCTGATCTTTACTGAAATACCAAACAAAATGAAGTCTTTAGAAATCTGCTTTGGGGTCTTCTTTAAAATTAATATTGCTAACCCCAATTCTTAGCGAGACGATACCTACAATACCTCTTCTAATGGATTCAAACCTGTGCCAACACTCGGGCCACCAAAGACATCTCTGCCCAGCAATCATCCTTGCTATTTGCAAAAGATTTTGAAGTATGCAAAGACTGAATAGCTGTTTCTTGCCCTGAAAATCCCTCCACTGCTCCTACTATAAAAGGCTAAAGAGATAACTTCGTTGACCTTAAGGTGAACAAGATGCCGAGCTGGCAATTTCCATCCTTCTGCTCACTTAGATGTTTTCAAGGGAGAATTACATGCAACTGCCTAAGAGAAAGCAAATCTAATTAACTTGCACCTACTCATTCAGAGCCTCAAAGTCAAATTAATTGTGACACCAAGCAACACAAAGACAAATGTAAAAACATGGTTTTCCATAAAACTGAGACATAGCCTTTCATGTCGCAGATGTATTTAGGACAATCTCACACAGCTAAAGCCCAGATGTGAGACACTTGCCAGTCTGAGGCTGCAAACCGGGCGTGTAATTTGCGCTGCTGTGGCTGTATCCCAACCGGAAGGGAGAGGAAGGAGGTCTTGGGGATGGGAGATACTACGTAAGACCTGTTTTTAAACGAACTTACCACATATTAAGCTATCAGGTTAGATCTTCCTCTTGGGACTCAATCTAATAATTGTGACACAGTAAGGTACTTATGTGATTGATGCTTTTTTCTATATTACACGCTTGGATAGCTACTGTAAAACTACAGGAATTGTTTCACAACGTACCTTACATTGCCTGTGGTGTAAAATGGATCCATTAGTTAGCAGATAACAGCAGCATGAAGCCTAACTCACTCAAGTGGCAGAGAGCCCTCTCATTCTCCTGTGCACTGAAGGGGAATAAACTGCATACAAAAAAAAAAAAAAAAACACTAAACCAAAGGAAACCTACCCATGCCTCTTTTACACTCACATAGTCCTGCAGTAAGAAGAGGAGGGGGAAAAGCTGCCCTGTGTGCCACTCCTACAAGTGCAGCTCCACATCCCCTGGGGCTGTGCGATGGCAAGCTGCAGCCAACGGAGCAGCAGCGCTGCTCGTCTCCTCCACCTCCAGCCACGCTCCTCCCCAGGAGAGACAGTAATTGTGTGGCCCCGGGGCTGAACCACACCGCCTTCCTGTTCTGGACAAAAAGTAACTCACCAAAAAAAGGTAGATTTTCCAGCAGCTCAGCGCATCTGTGCTACATGCCTTACAGTCACACAGTCACCGCATCCACCACAACGAAATGAGTCACAACGCGCCTATCAGCGGGAAAAAGGAGCGAGACCGTCCAGCAGCAGTGCATCGTTAAATCAGGTTGGGCACAGTGCAGAAATTATCCCTGGTTTCCTTTCCCAGCCATATCAATGCATTCAGAATGAAAGGTGAATGCATTTCCTTGCATTAGAGGATGAGGCAGGTGGTTATAGCCGAACCTTTTATACTGAAAGGATCATCTCCAAATAATTGGACGCATTAAGAAGCCATCACCATGCCCATGCTGCTGGTAGGGAAGGCAGCTCCAGGAGGACGGGGCACCCCTCCACAGCCGGGCTGTCCCCCACCAGCTTGGGAAGGCTCCTGAGGTGGGCCAAACCTGGTCACGGGACGCACGCTCAAATCCACACAGTACAATGCACGAAAATCCAGAAGTGAGCTAAGATACACTGATAATAACACATTTTCTTTTGTTCCCTTTTTCTAAAATCATCTCCTACTCTGTATTCAATGATCCAAGCTTATAGGCTGTTGGAATAAATAAACACTACCTGCTTTTTGCACTTGGCTAATATTATTAAGGTCTAATAATGGACACAGTCTTGTCATGTTTCTAACAGCATCCAAATACTTTTTCCCCTCAGGAAACTGGCAATTAATGTTAACAGGCATGCTCAATCTGTGCAGCAGAGGCTCCTCTGGCAGAAGAAACACCAGCCCCTTCTGCAGCGGAGTGGTAAGGAAGATAGGGAATATTTGCCTGCCATATAACTGGCCAAAGGGAAAGGGAGCTGGGAGACCTGTCATCCAAACAAACAGGGGGCTTTGGTGCCTAAGATGTCTGGTTTGGTGCTTCCAAAGCTTAATGCACCAGGTCTTCTGTTTCAATTAAAAATAAATGCTGATTTACATTTGCGCTACCTAGGCAGATATTGAAAACTTAGGGCTACAGATGCTGCTGGCTTTCAGCACAATTTGGAAACAAGAAAAAAGCCCAATTATTATTGGGCACTATGTCATGTCTAAAATGTTACTTATTGAAATTAAAAAAGCAGTCACTGTTCCTTTGTTTCACGTGCTTTTAATAAAAGCAAAGGCAATGAGAGACAAAACTTTGTAAAAGAACAACAGAAAATAAAATCTCCTTCTTATCCAATAGATCGGGGATTTGTTTTCAAGCCTGAGCACTGAGGCTTGATTCCTACATCTGCTGGGAGGAATGTGAACACACATCTCCTCTCCCAGATCAGAATCATAACCATCAAATAGCATATTACAGCACAGCCTTTCCACCTCCGGATTGCAAAATTTTGTATTCATCCAGAGAATAGAAGAATGTCAACACTAGAAATTGCAAATAACTTTTTCCTGAAAATGTACAACAGCACAGTGGTTAAGTAAAATCCACTAAGAAATGCATAATGGAAATTCAAATTAGAGGCAAACAAAAGAGCTGAATGCTGTCTACCTCAGCCTTGACGGATGGGTTATCCCTTGACTGAGTTTGACCTGAATTTTCACTTACAGAGGCAAAGTAAACAGAAACCCAAACACAACTCTATTATATCATTATTGTCATCTTGCATGTAGAATGAAGAGTTTAAGAAATAGGTACCTAAAAAGACTCCTAATCCAAATAATAATAAAAAAACCCTAAAACTGTTTGCTCCTGACTTCTACTTCTCAGCATGTTTAGTGAGCACACACATCAGGTTAGAAAATCAGGTTATTTAGGATTTCAATGTCTAGCTATGGCTACTCATTTCCGTAAATTGCAATTTAGTGTCTAACCTCAATTTTTTTCTTTTTTTCATTAAAAATAAATGAACACAAGTGTCTGTGTCTCACTACTCAGTAGACTTTTACAACTGTGACAAGACAGAAAACCAAAAAGAGCAGGAGTTCTACCACATAATTTCTTGCAACTTTTTCAGAGATTTTTTTAATGCATGGAATTGCTTATGTTTGAATTTGTTACTGAATATGACATTTAACACAAATTTAGAACTTTTTTTCTGAAATAGAATGAAATCTGAATTCTATATGAAGTAGAATGAAAAAAAAAGTGTCCAGCTTTTTAAAATAGAGTCTTTAAAAGCTTCAAATCAGATACATAAAATCATTCTATTTTGATGTTCTTCCTTCTATTTTCACGAATATAAAGTTTCTCCAGCAAAACTGTTTCTGAGCAGAAATGAACCTGTCTCAATGTCTACTGATGTTCTGCCATTCAACTGCCTTCAAGCGTTTTCAAACAGGTTTGTCCCTCCTTTTCCTTTCTCCCTTTTCCTTCCATTTTGACAAATGTAGAACCTCCAAACTGAAAAATATTTATTCAAAAACATTCCCCAGCTCTGTTTCCTAATACAGCACGTCCAAAACCCCTCATGCTTGTGCTCCCCTCCAAGTAACTCCTGTTTATAGTTTTTACCTTTAAAACTGCTAGGATTTTTGCTTGCACCTTTAAGGCTGATATGGATACACAGATCTTCACAGGACCAATTATTTAAATGAAAAAAATACTTTCCTTATAATGCAAAGGATTCTTCAGCTCCTACATAAGGATTCACTGTAAAACCAAAGGATCCTTTTTGCAGGGTTCAACAGCATAAGTTAAGCATCCGTGAAAAACTGAAAACAAATATCGGGCACATTTCCCACCGCTGCTACCTATTTCACAAAAGAAGAGACACCCCATCTGCCATTCCAATCCACAGCAAACTTGTTCACGAAGAGGCCAACATTAATGTCCTGCCAGTAATCTGGCAACTGTAAGAAGTGAATGCATTCAGCCTTTTAGCTTTTAAAAACCAGCTTGCACTCAAGCCTACCAAAATCCAATTTTTGTCAAAAGCCTGTTCTTTCACCCCAAGGAGAGTACCCAGCACCCTCTCCCATCCATGAGCGTAGCAGTGGCTGCTGCTCGCCGGCCTCACTGGCTGCTGCCCAGCCCTGCGACTAGACACCAGTAAATTAAACAACCTTGCTAATAAATGAAGCATCTTTGCCACCGCATTATAAATTAGGAGGTGAGATGGGCATATGGTTCCTCTCCTCACGTGGCGGTTCGATGACCGCTCCCGTCCTCCGCCACGTTGCAGCAAGGATCGGGCAGCAGCGAGAGGCAGGGTGCTGGCACAGCCCTGGCAGAGCAGCAGCACAGATAAAGCACGTCTTGGGATATTCCCTCTCTCTCTCGCCTCCATTTTCCAGAAATTTAATTTGTGTCTCTCACTGGTACTTACTCGACAGCGTTAGTCGAAATAGGAAACCTCAGCCAGGAAAACGAAAAAGCACAAAAAAGGCACTTCTTTCCAGTTTTACAGCAGATGCTTGGCTGCCTGCCAAAGCCCGCTACAGGGTTATGCAAATGCATTTACTCTTCTTTATCAGTAGCCAAAATATCATCGCTCTTGTAAAACGACATCTGCAAGATCGGGTGCATTCTTCAGAAGAATGGCAGCAAATATACTGCACAACAAAGCTTGGAGGACATTACTGGGGGATGCTTAAAGGGAGTCGTCGTCATATTTGACATCAGTGACACTTTAGATCTGGAATTAAACATGGATTGGGTTTTCAGCCTGGATTCTTATGTTTGGATATTAGGTCCAAAAGGAGAAAGGAAAAGTGTGTGACTATCTGGATGTTGTAATTTGATGTGACCTTCTGTCCTCTATTCAGTGAATGAGCTTTCCTCTTGTATTTGGAGTAAGAGTAAGGGACGGGTCAGGCTCAGCTATCTGCAGTAAATCTGAGATCCAACCTCAGCAGAAAAAGTCTGCCAGGAGGCAGCTAATGGAGTTGTATGCTCCTAAAAAGGGGGCTAGATCAGAAAAAAAAAAAAGCAAAACAAAACAAACAAAAAAACCCAACAACAACAAAAAAAAACCCACACCACACAACAGAAAGGAGCAAAGAAGAAGACAGTTCAATCAGGGTTAAAGTCATTAAAAATAAAGCTCCCAGGACCCCCTGCACTGTCATCCAGAAATTCAATATATAACTCACACAGCAGCACAACAAGGAGAAAACATTTACAGAAACAGTGTCTTCCATTCCCCATTCTTACAGCGAACATAGCAGTGAGCATGTGAGGGCAGAGCAAGTGAAATTTTTAACAAAGTCAGGATCCCCTTCCCAGAGCCTCTGATAAGGAATGAGATACAAGAGGCAAAAGAACAGATAACAAGTGTTAGCAGACATAAACCTGCTGCTGGTCGCACAGCAGCATAAATCACAAGTGACTCCATTAAAGTCAAGCAGCTACATGAGCATAAAATCTGTATACTTAGAATCAGCATATATTTAGAGACAAGTAATAAAGTCAAGATGTTAGAAACTGCTGGAACTATTCACAAGGCTTGACTTTTTTCCAATCAATAAAAAAAAAATCTGTACTTTGCTACGGGTGTAATAGAGGAGGGGGTAAGAAAAAGGTTAGAATGTATATTTTCACCTACGTATGTGTGCAAAACCAGTGCAGACATTAACAGGGACAGAGAATTGGACATAAAATAACCCCTTTTCTCTGCCACTCGAGTTTGTGCAGGTGCCAGGAGCTATAGATTACTGAGAAACAGACTGATTTCTGCAAAATTCAGGAGCAGGATTTATCAAAAACTTCTAATATCCTTGAAAAACAGAACATGAGATGTTCTTCAGAAATTTTGACTTTCTCAGAACTCAATCAATTTCTCAGTCATCTATAGGTCCTGGCACTTGCCCAAATCCAACCTGAGGCCAAATGGCAAAGCTTAAATTTAAATGTGAGAAATGGAGAGAATACATCTTTCCATTATTTGCTGCACATTACTGTAACCTTCACATTTGAATCACAGCAAAGTAACCTACATAGACTAAGAGAAATTGTTAGATAAAACACACGGGGACAAGAAAGAAAAGCAAGTCGTGTATCTAGTATCAGCATCCGAGAGTTACACCCAGACAGGAAGGCTCAGTAAGCAGGACAACCACAGGTTTGCTCACTGATCTATCCTCCCAAGAAATACCTTCTAGCGAACCTGTGAGGCCAAACTTTTTAGACTTATTTTATCCAGTGTTGGTTCGTAAAAATGAAGGAGTTTAAGTTGGTGCAATTTTAGCCTCTTCCTCCAAATATATGCAGTACATGACTGAGAATTAAACCTCCCTCTCCCGCAGCCAGAGCCCAGCAACAGTACTAAGTGATATATGATTCCATTTCCTCGATGTTTCCTCAAAACAACAAAAAAAACAACATGAGAATTATTAAAAACATAAAATGAATTAAACAGTCACAAATGGTAGAAGAATGCAAAATATTCAGCATATGCTAGCTTTACAAGAAGGGAATTAAATCAAAAAAAAAAAAAAACAAAAACCAGACCATAAAGAAAACACATAAAAATTTGCATTTAAAACTCAAGAACGGGAGCGCGTTTGCTGTGCTGCTGCCATGCAGAGCAAGTGCTCTGTCAGACAAATCCACGGGGGATGAAACAAAAGACGAAGCACCCTTACCTCAGCACTGCGTTTTTTCCATCGCTCCTTACACACCTGACCTGCCTGGTTTGGTAACCGATCTCCACCTCCCCGGGACGGTGGTGGGGTTTATAGCCTTGAAGTCCGGACGTGCTTCGCTCTCCAGAGTCCGACCCCAAATCCGGCATAGTCCTCCCTGCCAGGTCGATGTCTTTCGGATGGGGCAGGCGGCATTCGCCCCAAGACCCCACTCGGAGGCTGTAGGTGTGCTCCTCCTCCCCGAGGGGACAGGCGGGAGCGCCGCAGGCTCTGGATTCGGTCAGATTCGGGCACGGGGCACCCCCGTAGAGAGGGGGCGAGATGACCGCCCGCGTCCGGTGCTGCAAGCTTTTGGCGCAGCCCGTGCCGCACTCGGACCAGCTGGAGAACTGGGACACGACGCAGTCCCGCGGGCAGGGCACCAGGCAGGCTTGCTCGGCGGGCGGCTGCGGGGCGAAATACTCACAGATTTCGTCGGCGACAACGGTCCTGTTCAGCTTCTGGAGGCAGCGGACGCCCCGGCGCTGCAGCCCGTGCTGCGCGGTGACGCAGGCCCCGGCTCCCACCTCACCGCCGGCGAAGGGGACGAGCCCACACCTCTCCCATCCCGAAACCTCCCACTCGAACAGCTCCAGGTGCCAGTCACAGACTTTAAAGCACCTCCTCTGGCTTTCGGGTTTGTCCTTCTGGTCGCAGTTCGCGTGGTACGTTGTCCAGCCCTCCGCGTGGGTGCACCAGACGGCCCGACTCCGAACGCCCCCCGCGCCGCAGTCACCTACGCACCGGCCCCAGTGACCTGCAAAAGAGGGGGTGTTGAGAAATGCCACGCAATACTCCTGCCACGGATCTGCCCTGACACCCAAGAGCATCCAAACCATACCCTGCCACGTGTTAAAAAGTAAATAACTACCGGCTGGTCCCTAAAATTGGTTAAATGCTTCCTAAAGGCTGCAAGTAATTTTTCCTCCCAGCGTACACGCATCACTAGGCCGCTCAGAGTAACTAGTGGGGAAAAAAAAAAAAAAATGCCCTGCAACATCTCAAATTAAAGGCAGGCCAGGCACATTTCTGTAGTAGTAAAATGCATCCCAAAGCCTGAGGAAATATGAATATTTAATTTCACTTGTACAAATGAATATAAAAGTGATCATAAAGGAACAATAATCTAATAGGAAAAGAAAGTCAAGTTAGATAAGAGGAAAACAGCCTTAATAGAGCAATTAGTCAATGAAATAAACTGCACTGGGAAGCAGCTGAATCATCATCTGCAGTGATAAAACAGTGAGGATAAATACTATGAAAATAAGAACATACTCTTAATAGGAGTTTGAAATGGAGCAAGTGACTTGTTGAGACAGTGTGTGTGCTGCAGGATGGGTCCTGCCGGGCGCTGCTCTGCGAGCAGAGCCCCGACAGCTGGGAAGGCACCTCTCGTGCATCGACCTCTGAATTACCCTGGGACGTACATCGAGCAAGTCGTTCCCATTTGCAGCACGTGGCACTATAAGAGGTGGTAAAGCTAGTCATTCAAGAAGAGAAATTAAATAAAAATTAAACCCAGCAATGTCAATTCTAGTTCTGGAGCAGATGAACACAGCTATGTAATCATAAGAATCTTATTTGAGGATTTGCAAGTGAACATAATCAGACACGGCTAAATAGAAAGATTTTGCTGTGACAATATTATTCAAGAAAAATCCACCAAGCCAAAAAAAAAAAAAAATTGAGGGCTATAAAGTACAAATTTGCTTACAAACTGAAAGGAAAAGGTAAAGAAAAGCACTGGGGCTGAATCTTAAGATAATAAAGGGATTTTTATGATCCTGTCTCAAGAGGGTCCCATCTCATTTCCAAGTTTAAAAACTTTCCAATACCTCATAACAGAGCCATTTCACTCTGCAAGAACATTGCATATGTAATTCTCACTTGAAAATACACTGCAACTACCCTATCTTTTGTATTTTTCCAAGGCAGAAAATGAACTTACAATAAATAGGTCAATTTATATTAAGAAATGCTACTGCAGTCAAGTTTTTTTAAATTGATTTTAAAACTACCGGAATCAGTTACATGCTTACACTACAAAACCAAACACACACATAAAAAACAAAACCAGCCCCATAATGGCCGCAATTATAATACCAGGTATTTCATCCAGCTGATGGTGGTTTTGTTGGTAAACCTATCATTCTTTCTTCATGAATAGAGGAGTTAAACCCCCAGAGCCAGGGACTTGGCATTGTGTAATAAAAAGTAAAACTAAATAAATAAAAATTCCTGTTTTTTTTTTCATTGTTAATAAAGGAGGAAATGTAAGTAGGAATTGGTTATAGCTGAGCTTCTCCTCCAACACATCCCGTGCCCTTGCCACGTCCCTTCTTGGGCGCTCCCCTCCTGCCTCATCCTCCAGGCCAGGACTGCAGCTCTGCCCTGGGGCCGGCACCTTCTCCTGTGGTGGGCAAGCGTGGGGAAAGAGGGGTTCCAGAGTCATCCGGGTTTAGACAGCTCCAGCTTTTGTTGAATCCTTCAGGCTAGGTGAAAAAATCTTTGTCCCCTTTATGCCTCTGTTTCACACCAAAAGATAGCAGTCCAAGGTAAGGACTTGGCCGTGACACCTTACTGAATGAGAAAAGCAATCATCAAACTACACTGTGCTCTACAAGCTGTACTACACTAATGACAGGCTTTCAACAGAATCCAATGTGCTTAAAAACTGAATGTTCAGGAAAATAAATCTTTAAATACACTTTTGAAGTGCAGTTACATGAAGAGGTCCACTAACAATTTCAATGTTCATCCTTGATACTTCACCTTGAGCTAAAAGAATATTCTTATACAAATGCCAACAAGATTCAAAGCCAGACATCAGATTATGCATATACTGTCATCTTACTAAAAGTAATAGTAAAAATTCAAACCTCAAGTACTAGGTGGCTTTTTATTAACAGAGGAAAGTAACTACCACAAAGACTAAGCATCGCAACGTAATGGTATCATGAGCTTATTTCAGCATTCACTTCGCTGAAGCTGTACAGCAAAGGCAGTCTAATTTTCTGAGATGTGGAAGTCTCAGTTGAGGAAAAGTACAATTTGTTTTCCACCAGTTTGTTTTTAAAGCAAAAATTCATGTGTAACATTGTTTCACTTCAGCATTGAGCATAAGGACCTTGAAACACATTAAGGATTCAAATCAGTTTAGGATTTACTACTTATGTCTTAGGATAGATAATAGCATTAAAAATAGAATTAGACACCCCCCCCCCCCATGGAGTAATACAAAGCGGTTGTAGCAGAGGACTGGCCAAATTACACTGACCAAACTGTTGCCTCACTACTGCACATAACTTGTCTCATTAGCACCTCTTATACACGTCTGAGTGCTGCTCATGAACTACTCTATGTAATAACTACAGATTGGCCAATTCTTACATGAATAAGATAGAGACACACGCAACAGAAGCCCGAAGTGGCCATTATTTAATGTCAGATGTGAATTTAGAATGAAAAATTACCACCAAAAAAAAAGCAAGCAAGGACTCATAAGTAATTACACTATCATTAGACACATCACAATTTGCAATTATTCTCTGGCAAACATGCTAAAAACATAGCTTGCTCTTGGCATACTAAAAAAAGAAGCATGAAAAATAAGGTTAAATATCTGATGAAAATCACACTACTATAGATTCTTTTCACTTCCTGATGATCTCTTCAGGACACTGCAGTAAACTTATCCACAATGTTTTATTGCTTAGTTAAATATCCTGTTCAGTAGCTTAAATGAGGAGAAGGACTTAAATACTTGCTAGTCAATAGTCTGCTTTGTAATTAGAATTTAATTATTTTTAGAAGAGTCATGTTAAATTTACACTTTCCCTGAAATAAATCTGAGTCAATTAAAAGAAAAATTTCAGCACTATATGAATAATAATAACAACTGTATTTTATTAAAAACCCACTGGAATTCAGGCATCAAAAGCCCAAACGTCAGAAAGATGCTTTACAACTCCTGATCTAGAAAGGGAGGCCATTGGTAATTAAAGCAGAATACTAAACAAAATTAAATATATTTGACAGTACTCTGCCTATAGAAAATACAAAAAGCTGAAGATAAAGGATAGATGCCATCCGTCTCCTAACCACTGTAACCTAACCAGGTACTGGATGGATGTTTAATCTCATCGCAGCAGGATGCAGGTGGGAGAAGGACAGACTGTGGCCATAGGTTGAAACAGGAGAACTCCCAGCTAGATGTAAGTTAAAAACTATGAGGGTAACCCTTGGAACAGGCTGCCCCAAGGGACAGCAGAATCTCATCCTTGGAGGTTTTAAAGATGTGACTAAAAAAAGCCCCTGAGCAACCTGGTGTGAATTCAGTGTTGAAGCTGCTCCGAGCAGGCAGTTCCACCAGATGACCTACCATAGTCCTTTCCAACCTGGATTACTCTATGAAGAAGCATCTAACAGAAATTAAGGCTTTGTCCACCAGGATGCCAAAAAAAGTTTTTCACTAAAAAATACCACTGAGATCTGCAAAGTACCAAGGAACGTGCAACAGCACAAATAAATCCATTAGTCGAGCAAGTCAAAGAGAAATTCAATCAAGTCACTATTTCCAAAAATGAAAAGTGAAGCAAAACTTGCTTGACTTGTACAAAAATTGTAAGAGCCAGTGGGACATCTTTGTTTATGGAAAATTGTAAACAAAGATATCCTACTGTCTCTTACGAGACATCTGTAACACTACAAACAATAATGACATCAAAAGTACTAATAAATAAGAGAATCTCACAAAGACAAGCTACACATTGTTCGGTTTCCCATCTTTTATCAGCCAGAAAGAGTACCATACTATCACGCCACACAGCTTCTCTAATTCCGTTAAAAGCATGCAATAACACAGTAATTGTAGTTTATTTGATATAGTGTGCATTGATTTGCTTTTTCTGCCTGCAAGACCTACCTAAAACTATGCAATAATTATGTCTGAAAGGATACAGACATCTGCTCTTTGACACACAGGTCACACAAGCATAAGGCAAGCAGCCTATTCAGACAATAATTACATATTACAGACAAAATAAACCACCATTAAACATCAAACCTAAAATAGGAATCCCAGTAAGAGCTGCTTAATAAGTATGTTATTGCTTAATAAGGATTGCTACAATAATTATGCTCTGTTTAATGTGACATTTAGCTTAATTGCAACGATTTCACCATCTGAGAATTCATTCAACAATAAGCATCTTCCACAATTATTATGTCCCTGTAGCTATGTACTAATTTGCAAACTTAGGACAAGACCAGCAATCAGTTAAATAGATTATTGTGTTAGTAGTTTATTTCAAACAGGTAATAGATATGCTCCAAGTCACATCTGATACATAAAACAGCGAAGGAACACTGGAAAAATTGACAATCACTGGAATAGTGCTCCTATTTTTACACTTTCTTACTTTGTCTTTCCGTTTAAGAATCAAAATTAGGAGCAATTGTTCTAGAACTTAACAATCTGTTTTTAAATAGAATCTCCTAATTCTTAGACAAAGATCCCCAAATATCATAACAGAGACATACAGCTTCGTTAATGCCCAAGTGAGGAATAACTCCACCAGACGTGATTGTGACTCCAGAAGATCACTGCAGTGTCCACTTTAATGGAATACTTCTGCTTGAAATGTCACAAAACCACTCTGGATGTCATTCTAGCATCTTTCCACCAGAGCATATTTCTAATAAATGGAGAAATGAAATGGAAAGCTCCAACTCACTCTGTTGTTGTCTGTTCTCAGA